ATGTGTAAAAACATTAAAAAATGAAGGTACGGAAGAGCAACACGGTTGTTTTATCGTTGGCGTAAAACAACCGTGAGACTAAAACAAACCATCTTGATGAGTTAAAAGAGTCCTCTTTATTTTATTTGTGATGAAAGCTGGATGGAAGATATTAATATGAAGAAAATATAACTAAAGAGAAAGCTATGATCCTACAACCTTCTTTTTCAGAGGGGCAAYGCTGTAGCAGAATATATGAGTTTGAACAAGGCTACAGAGCAGTCAAAAAGATATCAATGTGAGTGAGTAAAGGTGAGATATTCACTACGTGGCAGTAAGGAAAATGGTAAGGTAATATAAAATGAAGTTTCCAGCTAGTGGCATCAATAAATGTAAATGTAGATTTTTTTTAAATAATAAGGTAAGCGAGGATGGCAAAGAAAATCTGCACTGTTCACTCTCTATTTCATAATTGCTATATACTATATTTTTTACTTCTCCTTTTTTGTTGAAAAAACAGTTTGATTTCTTAGTTAAATTTCACATTCACTCCRTCATTTCCACTTCTAACAGAAAAACGATGATTTAAACATGTTACTCATGTCAACCAAAGTAAATAACTGAATATTTCAGTGTGCCCTTATTGATGGGATGTTGTTTTGTTAGAAAATGAAAAGCCATCAGCACAGCACGTGCAAGCTGGATTCATTAGAGGTTTTAACATAATTACAAGAAGATTCTTGCCCTTTATTTCTTTGTTTCCTTGTCTTTGAGCCTACTGGCCTCTTTAAGCTTGTATAAGTTGCTTAGCTACCCCTTAATGGAATAAGACCTGCTCACATTTAATAAGATAAAAGAAAATTACATTGTGCATTGATCAGCTCTGGCGAAAACGTGCTGCCTGCCGGAGGGGGAGGAAGAAGCACTCATATGATGTCTAAAATGTAACCATGAGGGGAAAAAACGAACTGAAACCTTTCATACAGTGTTTTTCCTCTAAGGGTTGAAGGAAAAACACTGCATGAAAATACGCAGTATTGTCCAGCTGAAAAGCAACCTGATTTTACTGTTTGAAACCAGATGCTTGTTTTTAATCCTAAAAAAGATCAAGCTGAACTCACCTGTCAGATATATTCATGACTTTACAGTCGTGTCAGAGTTCAGTGGTTTAGTTACTATTTGACAAAAATGCAAAACGACGACGGTCATAAAAAGTCTTTCAACATTTTGCAGCTGCACATCATTGTTCTCTTAGGGACTCTTGGTATATACAGTATATATATATACAGTATATACCAAGAGTCCCTAAGAGAACAATGATGTGCAGCTGCAAAATGTTGAAAGACTTTTTATGACCGTCGTCGTTTTGCATTTTTGTCAAATAGTAACTAAACCACTGAACTCTGACACGACTGTAAAGTCATGAATATATCTGACAAGCATCTGGTTTCAAACAGTAAAATCAGGTTGCTTTTCAGCTGGACAATACTGCGTATTTTCATGCAGTGTTTTTCCTTCAACCCTTAGAGGAAAAACACTGTATGAAAGGTTTCAGTTCGTTTTTTCCCCTCATGGTTACATTTTAGACATCATATG